TTCCTTTTTTTATTTATATTTTTTTATTTTATTTCTTGAAAATACAGGAGAAAGAATCTGGTGTTTAGTGTTAATCAGTAAATATTCACAGAATACAAATAATAAGAATGAGAAGAAAAACATAACCGACATATTTCAAGGCTGGATGACACACTCAAAACATATCAAAGCAAGAAGCCATTAAGGTGAGCACTGAACAAAGCATTATTATCCTCTAGCACGGGAGTGAGGCCTCTCGCCTCTGCCTCGGCGCCCAAAGGGAACTCAGTCGCTTTTGAGCTTTATGGCCCCCGGATACAAGGTTCGAGTTCCCACTCCCGCGGGTGGCCGTCGGGGCGCGTACCTGTCGTTACTACGAAGCTAAGAGACAACGACACTAAGGCACTTATAAAACATATTGTGGTTTTTTGTACTGTAAACCGTTGAGAGAGACTTCGTGGACGGGCTAGGGGGTGGCCTCGCTTATTGGAGGTGGGGGGGGGGGGTATATAGGGAGGAGGGCAACTAAATATTGAAGAGAAATTAAAGCATACACATAATTTCTGTTTTGGATGTTTTGTTATTTTTTTCCTAAACTTTGGGATCCATTTGTTTTGATCTAAGGTTCAGGAACTACAGGTAAAAGCACTTTCACAAATGAAGAGAGACAGTTAGTGTTGTTAAAGTGACTAAAATAAGATTAATATTTTATTTATTTTTTTCGTTTCAAAAACCGCAACCACGCAAAAGTACTCTCCTTCCCCGGCCGAGAGACCGAGGCTCTTGAAATACTCTTGCGCGAAGCGAGGAACTAAACCCAAAGAATTTGCACAACCAAGCCGAAGGAAAGGGGTGATTGGGCAATGGGAGAGGCGGTGGGTACGGAGAGGGGTAAATGGGAAAGGGAGGATTAATTTCTGCTTACGAAGACACACGAACAGCCGCGAGCAGGGATTTCGCCACGAGCCCGAGCCCTTCCAGAGCGTCCTCCCCTGGCTAATGTTACAACCGTCACGACAGGTCGGCCCCTTCTCATACTAAACGCGCAACACAAAGATGGTCCAAGAAAGCCTGCAGGCAGCAAGCGGCAACGGGGAGGTTCGGCGAGCCACCCGGATAACAAGCCTATTTCTTCTAGCATCGAGTCGGACTTCGCGCAGCCATGTCTCTCCGTCTTTTTCCCGCAACATCTACCTCCCTGTTCATGCGCCCATTCATTCCAAGAGATCTCATAAAAAGCAATACTTACTAAAGTGCACTAGGATAAGGGGAAACTGTTCCTTAAGTACAATTTTCTATTCAATGGAATCAGCGGTAAAACACAGGTTGCTGCACCTGCAAAACTGATAGGAAAAGGCTAATGGGATCACGCAAATGGGAGGGAAATGACTGGCAAAGTCTGGCTTCGTTTGGCAACCCTGAAGGCAATCAATCTCTGGGCAGGACGGCGGGAGGCGGTCGCACCCCCACTTCTTGCAAGGCGGAGTTAACATGTCTGCAGACTTGCAATCGCGCCCAGAAGGGGGGTCCTCCACTCCCTCCACTCCTGCCAATTCCGAGGTGGACACCCTAATTCCTATAGCGTAAAAAGCGCACATTCAACATTTTAGGAACAATGACTGTGGCTGGGAGAGAATTTGTCGACTGAACAGAGGCAGCAGCTTCTTTCTCCTGCGCCTTAAACTACTAAGGTACTACAACCCACCCAGTCCTCCGTCCTTTAGTAAACAAATAGGAAAACTCTAATCCATCCAGATATTTTTGAACCATTCAATCAAACAACTCTTACGATTTTTTCATATAAAATAAATATAAAGTTTAACCCTTTTTGTAGTAAAAATCATCATACACGTACAAAAAACAACGCAAACCACTGAATACAGTATAGAAAAAGCCTTTGGCATACATTACTACGTAAATTGTAATCATACACTGTAAAATGAATAGAATAGATTAATTTTCTTAATTAGCACCATAAGAAAATAAAACAAATCTCCCATCCTGTTAAATAAAGGGATATGTTTGAATAGAATAAAATGCAGTGTGAATAAGGCGTGGTAATGTTCGCCGCAGAATGAACCCTGTCGACATGGCCGTCCACCCGCGTGGAGGGCCATGTCTCAAACCCTATATAAAAATACCTAAAATCCTTTAAATTCTCTGCGTGTCGAACACGCAATGTTCATCCTTCTTAATACTTATCTTCCTCATCAAAACTACAATTGCTGGTCGAGAAAAGGGGACGATGGCAGCTCACACACATCTGAGTGTTCAGATCATCAATTTTCATTAAGGGTCAGTAACAAGCCTACTCAATAATCATTTTGTTGTTGTTCACGTCCATTCCCCTGTAACTCTGCTGAGGCAGTGACCTTAAGGCTACGATGTTGAGGCGCGAGGCGGGAGTCTCGCAAGTGGTCGCGCCGCCGCTGTCGAATTATTGCTCGTCCGTCCAATCTGTGGCGACGCGCCTGCACTTTCTGCGCCGCGACCACCAAGAATCCCGCCCCACCTATTGTTG